GGCGGCCCCCTACTCCCACCCGCCCGGGCTCTCCCCTCCCCCGGCCACCGCCTCCGCAGCCGCCGCCGCCGCCGCCGCCGGTGCCCTTTGCTGCAATGCGAGAGCCGCCGCCGCGGAGCCGGCCCGGGCCCCGGTCGCCCCGGTAACCGCGACTCCACCTGGCGCGGCGCGGCGCGCCGCCGAGCACATCCTCTCTCCGGCCCCCTCCCCCGGCGCGGCCCCGCCGGCGCAGCCCCGCCGAGGATCGGCGGAGGCTGGTGGCTGCGTCGCCGCGGTCACCCGATACGCCGGCCCGCCGCCCGGGACTCGGGTTGCAGAAGGAGGGAGGGAGGTTAGGCAGCCTAGTGGAAGCGGGGGAGGGGCTGCGGCTTGGAGTCTAGCTTCTGGTCCTCTCCCAGGGTCCTCTTTAGGCTCCCACTCCCACAGGTCTGGCCTAGGGTTGGGGGGAAGAGTGTCCTGCCTCCCGACCTGTCACCCTCGAGATCATGGCCTCTCCCCATCAGGGTCTCAGCTGTGCACCGCTGCCCTCCTCAGCTCTCCGATGACTCCATTCCCAGCGAAGTCTGGGAGGCCTAGGACGCCTAAGCTTCCTTGATGGCCTCCGATCTTGCTCTGCTGTGTAACTCCGGCCTTTGCTGACACTCTCTGATCCTACACTTTATTTACATAAAGGAGAGCCTCAGACTCAGCCATGGGGAAGTGTGATAAGCACTGAGTAGCAAGTGATGACAAGAGCCTATGAACAGCCGCTTGCCTCTGTAATTACAAAGCCCTGGGGTCAGGGTCTTTTCAAACTCTGATGGAATTTCCTCCATCAGAGCAAATTCCAGATGTGGACAGGCCTAAAGCCCCATGACCAGGGACAACTGAGCTCACCCAGCTCAGCCTCACTCCTCTCCGGCACCCCAACCATATCTAGTTCCAAGACACGTCATCTGGGGAGGCCTCTGTATGCCCCAGACACATCGTGTCTATCCTCTGCCCCATCACCATCCCTGTCCCAGCCCCGTCTTAGCTTCCATGTGCACCTGGCCACTCAGGACAAGTCTATCCCATTTGCCATCCAGCCTTGGGGGCAGACACGTTTGTTGCCCGAAGTTCAGTCAAGATGGGGCCGAGAGCCAAGAAGGGAAGCGGGCCGAATGCCCTGGGGGTGACGCCGAGCGTGCCAATCTGTCACTAGACTTGAGTTACACTCCGCTAAAACGTCCGTGCTCTGGAGCCTTGCCCTTTCTTAGGCTGTCACATCTTTCCTTCTAATTCTCCTTGAAAGAGTCAAGCCTTGCTGCCGGTCCCCAGGGGGAGCAGGACGTGTGAGGAAGTGAAGCCGGTACCCATGCTATCCCTTGGATTCCTGGTTTCTGCATCTTTTCTGCCTCCTACAGCTGAACAGCCTCAAGCCAAGGCCCTCTCAGGGTGGCCCCTTCCCTGCTGCAACTCTGACTCCCTGACCCCTCTCCCTGTTTGGGCCCCAGATGCCTACTCTTCTTCCCTGGCAGGGCCCAAGCCTGAGCTGGGAGCCCAGGCCCTGCCTCAGTGTGCTCCTGTCTAAGCTGAGATCCATCTTCCCATCTGGGAAACTGAGGCTTGATGAGGAATCAGGGAACAAATTCAGAACAAATAGCTAGATGCCAAAGTCCTCTTAAAAATTGGAAACTAAGCCTTGAGCGTACTGAGAAGGGTGGTAGAGAGACATGGTGAAGAACTTCCTGATGGTAAGGCATCAGGGGAAGGTTGGTTCTGCTCAGAGATGGAAAGGTAGGGTGGGGATATGGGAGTGAGATGGTCTGCTGTGGGCATGGGAACGGAGTACAGGGCCCGGGAGTCTCCTGAAAACCGATGGATGAGGGTAGGGGAGGTACTCCTGTTTAAAGGAGAAAAGAATCCAAAAATTGTTCTCAAAACCTGAATATTCCTCCTCAAAAAACTCCTTCCCCAAAGCCAAACTTTTGGGGAGGCAGCGGTCGGAATCAGATAATCAGGGGAGAGTACAGGGCATGAGTCTCCGGAAACTGGAGGCTCCTACATAAAAGAAAGGGATGCAAAATTAAAGTCCTAGATATCCCCCCTCCAAAAAAAAGTCTTCCCCAAGCCAAACTCCTCCAGGGGTTTGGGGAGTGTGAGGGAAGTGGGTGACTCACCTGGGCCGGCTGGCCAGCCCCGGAGGGGGCGGAGTCGCCATGGAGGTGGGAGCAGAGGGAGCTGAGGAGGCACACGGGGTCCACGGTCCAGCCGCCAACCTGTGTGTGCGAAGGGGGGGATACCCCATTAGGGGGAGCGGGCAGGAGCCGCTGGGGGACTGTGACAGGGCGGGGAGGGACATTCCTGGGGCAAGGTTTGGCACGGAACTCACACCCCAGAGGGAACTTGCAACACTGGCTGGTCCCTTCCCAAGGCTGGATCTCTAACTAGAACCCCTGGTCTGTTTCTGGATGTTTCTCTCGTGTCCGACTGGGGGCTGCCTCAGCCCAGGAGGGGGTCTCCTCCATCAGATACTCCTGAGTTCCCTTTCTTCAATTTTTGACTGCCTCCCTGGACACTCTACCAAGGAGCTGTTCCTCACCTGTCCTCTCCTCCAGCTCCTCGTTTCCCTCACAGAGACGGGGAACCAGTCCGAAGGGGTCCTCACTCCCACGTGCCTCTGCACCGACAGCACCTCTTTCTTCCCTGCTGTCTCCCAACCCCAGGCCACACCACACCTAAGACTTGAAACCCATTAACCCAGGACCTTTCCCCCAAGGCCTTCTTCCCCCTCGCCATCCCCAAAGTCATTCGCCTTCATTCATTCCACCGACATTCACCCAGCCGGCACTACGCTTAGGCACCGAGCCCTCCGTGGCAAGGGAGACGTCTGAGATCCTACCCACTCACTCTACTCGAGGGAATGAACGAGTGAATGAACAAAGGAATGAATTTGTGAGCAAGTTGCTGTGCTTTGGCTCATTTACTAAGTATTTGCTGAGCGCCCATCTGTGCCACGGAACGTGCCGGACACGTCCGAGGCCCTCAAACGTGCCCATGTCTTTCTTCCCTCTCAGGCCTGCTGCCCCTTGAGGCCATCACCCCTGCCATCTTCATCTTTTTATGGCTGAACCTCCCAGACTGCTCTGCGCCACAGCTCTGCCACCACCTCCAAGCTCCTCAACCCCTGAAACTGGCCATGACCTCACCACACCACGAGAAACGAGGGGGACCCTCTGGACCCACAGGTCCCAGCCGGTGCCAATGGCTGTTTCTCTCTCTCCCTCCTGACTTCGGAAGCGCTGGTGGTCCTCCTGCTGGGCCTTTCTCCTCCTCCTCCACACTGTCATGGCCCTCTCCCCTCTCAGACTCCATTCTGCCCTGGTGGCCGTGCTTATGCCCCAGGTCCCACTGCCACTCTGCCCAGATCATGCTCACCTGGCCTCCTGAAGCTGTTGTTGGTTCAGTCTTGGGCCGTACCTATGGCGCCCCTAATGGACATCCCTGGGAATGCCCTCCCCGCTCTGCAAACTCACCTCCCCTATTCCTGTCTCCCATCCCCCCAACATTTCCCTCCCACCCACTTATTCCTCCCCAAGGCACCGATAGCTCCCTGCTACCCAGGTTTTCTGTCTTTGGCT